TGGTGGTGGTGGTGGTGGAAGTGGAGGTGGAAGGGGAGGAGGGGGAGGAGGAGTTATGTGCCACTATTGAGACATTAGGATGGGTTGGAGTTTGGCATGTGAAGAGATTGTAGTGGTGTTTAAAGTGAGTGGTGGTAGGAAGTTGGTTTACAGTCTCGTCAAGTAGGAATTGGGGGTGGGATGTGGTAAGGTGGGGTGAGTAGGTGGGTGGGGGGTAGCGGCTAAGGGAGGTGAGGAAACGTGAGTGGATGGCTGTTACCTGTAAATGGGTTGGCAGACGACAGTGGACCTGAAGTCGTGTTGTTGTTGTTGTTGTTGCTGTCATGGTTCACATTTTTCACGCTCATAGTGAATGGCGTCGTTGTTGGATTGTTGGTTGATTGACTTGTAGTGAGACATGGCTTTTGTATTGGAAGATCCGTTAGGTGAACGGAAATGTCATTAGTTATCCCTAGGTGACTCACTCACTACCTACCCAACTTACACTTCTGCAACGCACATTACATCATTCATGCGCCATGTCCAGTGGACTGTGCCTTCTTTGTGTGTGTTTTTGCGTGTGTGCGTATGAGTGTGAGGGAGTTATTCACTAAGGCCTTCCCACTGTAGGCCGAAGAGCAGTTACAGCTGAGATGAATCGGCTCGATGTTATGTGGTTAGAAGTGGGATGTGACTAAGAAATGTTAATTTTGGCAGACACAGACAGACAGGCAGACAGACAGTGAGAAGTGGTGAATTGGTGAGTGGGAAGAGGATGGTGTGTGGAGAGAAGAGGATTGATGGCCTCATACCGTGGCGAAGGTGGTGCGTGGGAAGAAATGGAATGTAGGTTGGGAACGAGGAAGGCACTGCTCCACTTCGTTCTCCCTCTCCTTCTGATCAGCATTCCCAATTGCATCCTCATTTTCTGCATTGCTTTGGTGGTGTTTGGCAGCGGTCAAAGTGAGGGGCGCAGGCCTCCTCGTGGGAACCACATGGGACAAGGTGTTGTTGTGTTGTGTTGTGTTGTGTAAGGGTGGAAATCGCAAGGTTGGTTCACGTTGGGGAAAGATGATTGATTGTTTCGATGTTTAGGGTGACGAATACGACATTGTAGGAAGCGTTCAAAAGTAATTTACTTCTTGGTGAAAGGCTGTATGAACGTATGGGATTGCTATGTAGTCAAGTGGATGGCTTAAGTTTGGACCAGAGAGTGCTGGAGG